TGAGCTGGAATTGGTACTGAATTATCTGGAAATGTATTATGTAACTTCTTCTTACATTACTGTATGCCACTTTGAACAGGGTTTGCTATAGAAAAGCAGTATATAAATAAACACAGTGCTGAAGCACTGCACAGAGGCATAGCTGAGTGATTTTAGTTATTTCAAACAGGGTTCCAAACACAAAGGAATCCTTATTCCTTGGGAAAGGGTGCCTATTGTGTATCTGCTATTACAGGCACAGGAGCTTTGAAAAGAAAAGGCAAAGGCTTCCGCAGCCAACAAGGATGAGTAGAAGCTGCTAACAAATTACTGAGGACCAATTATATTGCTTTGAAAAAAATCTTGCTTGGCACTGTTATTAGTTGATTGTTTTTGGTATCCATTATAAAATTGGTGAGTTTCAAAGAAAAAAATGACATATAAAATTTGAAATCCATATAAAGATTTTTAGACAGCTCATCAAGGGGTCAAAACTATCACAGGGTGGACCAGGAAAGGAAGCTGCCTTCCCCAGGAATAACTCCCACAGCTGCCAAGCAAAACAGCAAAGGAGGACAGTTCTTTCACCTTCAGCTAAGCCAGCTCCAGGCACAAGAAACCTCCTTCATTTCCCTCAAGACTACCACAGTAAATAGCTACCCTGATCAGTGCCATCACTAGGGTTGGTTTCATCCGGTGTGCGTGTGGGAACTGCCTTGCTGTCCTCCTTGCTTGGCCAGACCTTCCTGCTTGGCCATTAAAATGCTGAAAAGATGGAGTGAGTGAGATGAGGCTCAGCGGAAGGAGAAAGGAGAGGTCTCAGGGTGTGTGCTTTTTTTGGTTAATTTTTTTTTTTAAAAATCAACATTTTAAAATGCTTTTTAAAAATTAATTTAATTTTTGTTTACATTTTATTATTTTTTAAATTTTCTTTTAAAATAGCGCCTTTTACGAAATTTTCACTTCAACCATATGAAACTAGGTATATATGTAAAGGCATCGAGGCTGTGTATATGATATTGTAAGTTAAAGGTATAATTTTAATTTTGCTAGTTGCTGATGTCATAACTATTGCCATGACATTCAGTGATATGCAGGAATTATGATTAATAACTTTAGTGCAAAAAAATCTGACTAAAGATTGTGTATGGTGTGGGATGGGAAGAGGTCAATGGAGGGGGATGACACCATGATTTACCAAGCAGGGTGATGCCAATCCTAGTGACGCCACTGTCCCACTGGGTGACACACTCCTCTGGAGTGCCACCCCAGTGTGGTATGCACCCCCCCAAAGCCTCCAGTGATGCCACTAGCCCTGATCTCTCTCTTGCCCTGTCTGCTCATTCACCTTCCTTGTACCTGTAGGCATGTCTGCTGAAGAGACAGCAGGTGTCCAGAGTCTCTCCCCAGCTGAAAAGGAGGGAGGAAAATGGCAGAGGAACTCTTTCCTTACATCCTTCACCTTCATGCATATTTGGGAACTGGAGGGTATGCAAACCTTCATTACACACAAAATTTCCAAGGTCCAAAACACACTGCAGAAATAATCCAGTTTGAGACCGCTTTAACTGCCCTGGCTCAATGCTAGAGAATTCTGGCAACTGCAGCTTTGTGAGACATTGAGCCTTCTCTGTCAGAGAGCTCTGGTGCCACAATAAACTACAATTCCCAGGATTCCCTAGCACTGAGCCAGGACAGTTAAAATGGTCTCAGACTGGATTATTTCTGCAGTGTGTTCTCAACCTAAGACTTTCTGTCTATAAAGCAGGGTTGTAAGGAGCCCATCTGAATAGGATATTACCAGTGTTTGTACATCGATTGGTCAACTCTTTCCCCACCACATCATTTTGCATGATGA